GGGGTGCGTGATACTGAGGCGAGTGACAGATGTGGATGGAGTCGAGGGGTATTTCGCGTTTCATCATAGGTAGCCAAACGGCAACCCCCGATCTCGGGGAAAATGCCGTCTAAACGTGTGTTGTTGTTGTTGTACTTACGATAATAATGATGATTTTTGTGTAAAAATGAAACTATCTTTATGCTGTTGAACTTGAATAATTTTCAGTAATTTATCAGTATATTGGTAAATTATTATTGATATATTGGTAAATTATCGGTACATTGGTAATTTTCGGTTTTTAGTTCGGTTACTGATTTAGTACTATTGAGGATGGGTATTCACGCAAGCACATTTGGGCATTTAATTGTCTTGAGATTATGTTATCGCTCATTAAGCAGCCTCTTTTAAAATAATATGCTGGAGTCGCTTATTAGTCCTTATGACGGAGTTAAAAACATTAAACAAATATCTCGTTATTGTTTTGTATCGTTTCAAAATGATATAAACACAGATGCTTTGCTTGAATTTTTTGTCATGTTTTAAATTCAGAAAATGACAAATGATTTCAATTTTAAAGGATCCATTTGAAATGAATGTGAAGAAGAGAGCCACAGGAACAAAAGAAGAGCCCACTCTTATTCCGTCTTTGTACGATAAAAGGCTGATTGGATGTGTTTGTTAGTTTGTTAATTTCAGTTATATAACTGATTTTTTTGCTTGTTCGTTCTCCTTTTATTGATTTGTTAAAATTCTGTTTATAGACTTTTAAGTTATGAAATCAAGCTTAGAGACCGCAAAATAATGCTGGGCTATGTATTTATGAAAGACAATTTTTGATTGGTTGATGTGTGCTAATTGTTAGGATGAAAATTTTGAGTAATTTCAGGTTATGAGTAAAAGAATCTGGAAATAATTATGATATAATTGTACTATGAAATTTTAAGTCTTATTTTTTTTTAAATACATTTGTTGATTTAAATATTATTTGCTTCATCTTAATTTTCCAGACTCATTGTTAAACTCATAACTAAATAATTCAAAGAAGCTTTTTAGCCAGTATAATATCTCCATTTCAATATGGGGATTACCTCAGGTTGTAAATGTGATATGAATATCAAAAGAAGGGTAGCTATGGCGAAAGAAAGATGCATATTCTAAAATGAAAAGCATCTGCACCAACAGTAAAACCAGAATATCAACAAAATTAAAACTGTTAGGGTGTTACATTTTATCAGTTTTAACTTACAGCTCTGATTCCTGGACAATTTCTAAAGAAATGGAAAATAAATCAACGCTGCTGAGATATGGTTTTTAAGAAGAATTATGAAAATTTGTTGGACCTCTCCTACTTCAAACGAGAATGTATTAAAACAGTCCAGTTATGAAAAGGAAATTACTACAGATAATCCACAGGGGCAGTTAAAGTTTTTGGCCACATCATGCAGAAGGAAAATGGAAAATCTAACTAACAACAACTGGAAAGATTGCAGGGAAAAGATATCGTGGTCAACAACGAAGTGAAGTCCTTGTGTCACTTGTTGAATATCACCACATTTCAACTCTTACAAAGTGTTAAAAGATCAGATTTTGTGGAGGTCGATGGTCGCCAATGCTCTGAAAGGATAAGGCACGAGAAAGAAGTCATTAAATCATTTGGTTTCCTTAGAAACATTTGTAACAAAAGTTTTTATATGCAATGAATGAATAGTTACAGTCTTTTTTGATGTTGTAAAAACCTATGATAAGACTGGGAGATACAAGTTCTTAGGGGCCTGTATTTGTATAAAGCTGGATTAAGAGGCTGACTTTCGTTATTTATATACAATTTTTTATGTGACAGAAAATTTAAAATAAAGTATAATATTTTCTTTGAGATGAGAATACTGCAACAATTCTCTCCGTAATGCTGTTCTGAGTTGAAATTAATGGTTTTGGCTTGTTCAAACAAACAACAACAACACACGTTTAGACGACATTTTCCCTGAGATCGGGGGTTCCCGCGGCTTGTTCAAACGTCTTTATATAAATTATTTAATGGTTGCCTGCGGGATTACAAATGTTGAAAATAATGGAAAAAGATTAAATGACATAAAAACATACAAACATACAATTATTATTAGTATTTTTGGTGTGTTTGTAAGCGCCCTTTAAAAAGATATCAGAGGCGCTAACGATTATTTTAGTACATTGCCGTAGCACTTTACTAAGGCAATGCAATGAATGGAGATAAAAAAATTAACACGGGTAAGCATTGACAAAAAGTTGGTGATTCAACCTTTTACGAAATTGAATAACAGATAACGCAAACCATTCCAGACAGCAGGACCCATTACGAAGAAATTTCTTCGATCAAAAGCCAAGTTTGTGTCAAGTACAAACAGTAAAACCTGAATTGTCAGAGCACAGTGTTTGACTCAGCAGTGGCATTGTCCTAGGAATGACTCTGTCAGTTAAATATTTAGAGGCGACTCCCTTAATACATATAAAAACCATTAAAAAGTCCTTGATGGACCGAAGTCAGCAAAGAGCAAAAAGAATTGGCTTAACGTGATCGTATAGTTTGTCTGCCTTGGTTAATGATCGTATATATATATATATATATATATATATATATATATATATATATATATATATATATATATATATATATTCTTGTGAAATTAGGATTTAGACCATAGTCGATACAGTTTTCAAGAAAATCAACCGCGTTAATACAATTATTATGTTTATATATTAATTTTTCAAGTTTTCTAATTAAAATTTTATTATAATTATTTAATTTATTAAGTAAAATCTAAAATTATTATTGTTCATGTTTATTATTATAAATAATTGCAAAAAACAATAACAACAGCAACAACAACAACAATAGTAATAATAATAATAATGATAATAACAATGACAATGATAATATAAACTTGGAAACATGAATATTGTAGTATGATGATATGGCTGATTTTTGCTTTTTATTTTGTTGATTTACTTTATGGTCGATTTTTCAGCAATTTTTTAAAATTTTAATTTATTTTGTTTAATTCTAATATATATCTATGTAAATAATTTAAAGTTAATTTTATCAATATGTTAAATATATAGTTTATAGAAATTAATAATAATATTTTCAAAAATGTTTCGCGCTTAAAATTAAGTTATACTGTATGACGTCATTTGTTTATAAACGGTAATTTTCGTTATTATTTAAAAATATTTTGCACTGAAATAGTTTTTGCACTGTTTTATATCAAAAAAGCTTTTTGCAATTATTTATATTAATAAACATGAACAATAATAATTTTAGTTTTTTACTTAATAAATTAAATAATTATAATAAAATTTTAATTAGAAAACTTGAAAAATTAATGTATAAACATAATAATTGTATTAACGCGGTCGATTTTCTTGAAAACTATATATATATACCAAACATCTACCGGCGTGGGACATTACGGACATATATTATCCTATATCATACCAATATATATGATATATATATATATATTATGTATGATATATATATATATATATATATACATATATATATACATATATACATATATATTTTAGAAAGAGGTTGGAACATCACATAACATACAAAAGTGGACCATCAGCCACGCAAATTGATTTCTTCGCTGTCAAGCAACCACACCAAAGGCTGTTCTAAAACGTCAAAGTTATACCTGGCGAATCACATGTGTCGCCCAACATAGACTCCTTGTGGCAGACCTGGTTGTCGAACTGTCAAAACATAAGTCTAAACAAATGCCTCGGAGAATCAAAACGTGGAAGCTGAAAAGCAATATTCATCGAGAAAAATTTCAACAGATTATCGCCACACAGTTAGACCACCAATCGCAAGCCAGTACAGATTGGAGTACATACAAAACCGTTTTAATGAACGCTGCAACTACAGTTTGTGGGGAAAACTGGTACACTTGGTGGTGGAATGACAATGTACAAAATGCAATAGCTGAAAAGAAAGTTGCATACAAGCAATGGCAAAAATCAAAGTCTGTAGATGACCATAAAATTTTCCGTGAGAAGAACAACTATGCAAGACGTCAAGTCGCACTGGCTCGGACAGATCAGTGCAGAGAGTGACTCACTAAAAGCAAAGGTGAACAAATGAAATCTCTGTATCGTATAGCAAAACAAGCAAAGCGTACGAAAAAAGACATAGTTGGTGCCTCATGTATCAAAAACGACAAAAATGAGATGGTTCTTGAACAAGATGAGATCAAGCTACAGTGGAGAGAATACTTCAATCGTCTGTTAAACAAAACAAATCCCATCAATGTTAACTTTGACGCTCCACCCATCGAAGGTCCGATTCCAGACATCACTGTAGAGGAGCTTACAGAAGCTCTGTAAGCTATGAAGAATGGAAAGGCAGCAGGGCCCTCTGGACTAACAAATGACATTATCAAAGCATCTGGTACTGCAGGTATCCAAACGTTACTACAACTTTGCCGTGAAATCTGGAGAAATTGCTCAATGCCGACTGAATGGAACTAAAGCATGACAGTCCCGCTATACAAAGGCAAGGTGATCCATTGAACTGTTCATCATATCGGGGTATACTCCCTGAAGTTAGAACACTCCCTGAAGTTAGAACACTCCCTGAAAATTGTCGAAAAAGTCATTGAGAGAAGATTAACGTCGTGCGTCACAATCGGAAATTATCAATTTGGTTTTCTAGCGGGGAAATCAACAATTGATGCAATTCACATTCTTCGGCAACTGCAAGAGAATACCTCGCAAAGCATCAACAACTATCACACATTTTTGTAGACCTTGAAAAAGCATTTGATCGAGTTCCCCGTGAAGCAATCAGGTGGAGTCTACGTCGACAACTCATTCCAGAATATCTTTTTCGACTTGTGATGGAAATGTATACGAATACTAAGACTCTTGTCAGCACAACGGTTGGAAACACAGATGCATTTGACATTCGCGTTGGAGTTCACCAAGGCTCGATTCTCAGTCCACTGTTATTTATAACTGTGATGGAAGAAATCACAAAACCGATACGCACTGGTGACATTTGGAATCTAGTATATGCTGATGATATCGTTTTAACTGCCACGTCTGAGCAGAATACAGCACAGATGTTTGAAGATTGGAACACCAGACTCGCCGATCATGGATTCAAAGTCAACATCAGCAAAACCAAAGCAATGAACACTGGTGAACCCATCCAATCCACAGCTACTGGACGATGGCCCTGTTCAGTTTGTAAAGCTGGTGTAGGTAATAATTCAATCAAGTGTCAGCAGTGTAACCAGTGGTGTCACAAACGTTGTTCAAAAATAATTGGAACTTTATCTAAGTGTCCAATTTTGTTTGTCCTGCTTGCATTATTCCACAACAACAAATTCAAAATAGCACTGTTTTTGAAGCCATTAAAATAGAGAAAGTCACATCGTTTCAATATCTAGGGGATGTTCTGGATTGTACTGGAACAGCTGAAGCTGCCGTTCGAGCACGCATACGTGCAGCCTGGAATAAATGGCATCTCCTTGCCTCTATATTGATGCGGCGTGACATCCCACTACCACTACGATCAAGACTTTATAAATCTGTGGTACGCCCGGTGTTGTTATATGGTGCAGAAACATGGCCAATGACAACCAAACTGGAACAACAAGGCGGATGGTACGCTTTTGGAACCGTTTGGATACACAT